GAGAGCAAGAGAGAAAGAGGGAGAGGAGGAGAGGAAGAGAAATCTAATGAAACATAGATTAGCATCGCAGGGGCCCACGGGGCGTTTATGGCCTAGTTTTCTTATTCTTCTATTCTTTTCTTTTTTTTTGTGGCGGAATAAACGCTGTCCCTCCCTCTCCTTCCTCCTTTCATCTCTGTATTTGGTGGGCTCTTTGGAAGGAGCGGCTGTCTCCGAAAAACTGGGATGGGAGTGTGAAGGGAGTGGTGGGAGGATTGGCGGGGTTGGGTGGGGGTGTTTATCATGTCATGTGTGTCAATGTTCAAGGACCTTAAGGCTAAAAGCGGAGGGAGGCAGATTGATGGAGGGTGAGATGATGAGACGATGGTGGAGTTGACAGTGGATGAGAGGCAGCTGGCGGGTCAACGGGATTCGTGTGTTTGTTTATTTTTTTCAATATTCTTGTAGAAGGAAAAGATTTAGTCCCTGTCTGTCATGTGGCTGGATGTGAGGTGTGTGTGTGTGTGTTTGCGTGTGACTTACGTGTACACTCTTTCAGGGGGATGCTGGAGCTCATGTGGATGTTGTCTATCCAGATGTGTCCTCTGGTGTTGTGCACGAAGAAACCCTCCATCACAACCTACGCCACAGCCAAAACAGGGGGAGGAAGAGGAAGAGGAGGTAAAAGTTGAGAAAGAAGAGGGGGAAGAGGAAGACGGAGACAGGATGACGGCAACAGGGGAGCAGGGGGGGAGGGGGTGGAGGCAAATTGAGAACGGGGACAAGCGGGAGCAGGAGGAGGAGGAGAAAGAAGATAAAAACTTAATACGGCGCCTGTGATTTCAAAGTTGCACTCAACACTTGCAATCATCCTCCTCTTCTCTGCAAGCGTCTTTAACTGACTTTTTTATGAGAACATTAACTGCTTGTGATGTCTCCGACAAATGCGCAACCATCCCCAAACAATCACACAGCCAATAGAGACTATATGGCTTACTTTAGTTTGTTTTTGAAGTCAGACCTGGCCTAAGGTGACAGAGAGGGTAAAAGTGATGCTTTCATATGCTCTGAGATGAATGCGTCTCTCTATAGCCAACACAGATGAAGACATTAAAGATATGTTTCTCTTTCTGGGGAGTCATATAATAAAATGTCTGACCCAGATACCTATTTATCAAGCAGACATACTTTAATATAGCTCGCTGATATTTGCCAGAAGTCTGATGCTTTCATAGCATTGCTGTTATGACTTTTGCAGTCGTCTGTTTTTTTGCTTTTTAATACCAGTAAAGAAAAACTGAAGAAAAATGTGGGTTTATTCTTACCTGGAAGTCTTTAGGGGAGCGAGGCAGGATGGTGCGACCCTCCTTCCAGACAGAACCCTGGTCGTCTTTCAGAGTCCACAGGACGTTCTCCGCGTTGTGGGCATCCCGCAGCAGGACCTTCAGGTGGCCCTGGGCGTCCCCAGACAGCTGGTAGGAGAAGAGGAGGCAGAGAGGTCCGGTGTCGGCCGCCACCACGGGGCTCACGAGGCGGGCTCGCTGCTGCTCCGTCTTTAGGCTGGCGTCCATGTACAGGTAGCTGGTGTGCTCTGGAGGAGATACAGTGGGATGAAAGGTTACTTTGTCTTACTCTGAATAAGCATGTGTAAAATGCACACTATCACACGCTTTCAGCTCCTCTGCTTTGAAATTAGAGAAAAGTTCCTGAATCCAGATGTGCTACAGACTTTGTGATCTTTGTGATCTTCATATTTTTCCTCTGAACTTTGGACTAAAACGCTTTCAAAACCCAATTGAATACAGGGATACATGGGATCAAGTAAAACATAAAAAACATCGACATCACAACAACAATATGCAACTGAGCTGTTTTAGTTTTTTTTAACACATTGCCAGAAATGAGCAGAGCTTTGTTTTAACCTTGAGTTTGCTGGTTGCTACAGTGAAACCAAAGTGAAAAAAAGATTTAATGGATTTTCATTTCAGCCCTCGAGGCAGTAAAAAGTAGGAAATTTGAAAGCCTGTGTAGACTTTTGATATCCACTGTAAATACATGCTGCTGGAATGAGTTTGTGGGGCACAGATGGAGCACATACAGTCACACAATTATAATCATTAATCATCACTGTTTGGCAGACCTAGACACATATATATACCCATTTGCACACCATGTATGGTATGTGTTTTCACACAATTGCAGATATGCACAGCATGACTCTTAAACAAAAAAGAAACTAATCACCAGTTGCTAACAGGAACGGGATCACTACTGCACAATAGTCACACCAAACAATAGGGATATGACAAATATAAACACACAGAAGAATAGGTCCAGTGAGAGCGTCATTCGTACATAGAGCGCTACCAGAACTCCAGCCAAGGCCCTCGGGGCCTATTTCTCTTCATTCCCTTCCAGGTGAACGACTTAAACAACGGAAGAGTCCAACAAAATGCACGCCACTCCGTTTGTTTACACCAGAGGATGTTTAGTTTGCAAATTGGATGCCGACATGAATTCCATTGTGAGAGAGTAAGATTGGTGGGTCTACAGTATGTATGAGAGTGTGTGCGCCCATTTATGTATGTGTGAGAGAGTGACTCAAAGAGGCGTCTGTGGAAGAATTTCTTAAGTGGGCCCTGTGGGAAAATGTCCAGTATCAACAATCTGCAGATTAAATCACCTGCTTTATCATGCACTGTGTATGTGTGTGTGTGTGTGTGTGTGTCTGTCGGAGCAGCAACGTGCCTCTTTGTCTCACAAGCAGGGAAAAAGTTTGAGGCAAATCAGGGAGCATTTGGGTGTTTTCCAGAATATATGAGTGTCTGCTTTAGTTTTAGTTTCCCGGTAACACCACAAGCTTCGTCTTTAGTGCAGCATCTGCTTATTGTCCACAGCACCTTGCAGCGGCATCCAGTAAGGGTGTAAGTTTTTAGCGCAGCCATGCTCATGTTATTGAGTGACTGGGTCGATAACCTTTTGGCTGTGTGTGTGTGCGGCAGATCCGACAAGCAGTATCTGGAGGGAGAAATCTTCCTCCGACTTGACAGCTCCCCTCTGCCCGCCATACGCCCAGACTCGCCTGTGTGTGACACTTCAGACAGTGTGTGTGTGACAGTATGTCCCTTGGCCCTTGGCTGCCCTGGAATGAGTGTGTGTGTGCGCTCCCTTGCTGTGTATGACACTGCTGTTTTGTGTACAGGCTGCCTGCGTGTGTGCGCACGCCCAGAGAGGATGTGCGAGTGAAACATATTTGTGACTCCGCCAGGCATTTTATCACTCATTTTAATGTGTGCACCAAAGCCTCTCCCGTCGTTTCTTCCTTGCGTTGAAGCGCAGCGTCTTGCGGCGAACCCCCCATTGTTGTGCCTCTTGTTCGCCAGACAGCTCATAATCGCCATACGCGGCACAACAGAGCATTATTAATCCATTTCACAGCGATCTCCTGCAGCGAGGAGCAAACAAGGATTCAATCTATGCAGCCTAGTTAGCACGCTCTTACTAGCAGGGGTATATTAACGCAAATAATGCAGTATACGGTGGCTAATTCCACCTCTGTGCCTAATTACTAGTTACTAGACTGAGGTCAAGAGGTGAGGGGATCACGGTTTCTGGGCCACATGAGAAAAAGGACCTCTACAGAGGATTAAAGAGTGATTTGATAGCAGTGAAATAATGATCCTGTGCTGGCTGGGATTTCTGACCTTTGACATGCGCGGAGAATCAAAGGCAGGCGTGGCGTGTCAAAACGGCTGCAAATGATACATGAAAGCCACAACCTGGGTAATCTAAGCAACCCTTCCCGATCCGGCCATGATGAAAGAAACCGCTTTGAAGCCTTCCCCCGTCAGAGATGGTTTTGACCTAAAAAAGGGTCACGCTTCAGGAACGTCTGCAGCGGGATCCCTGCCGAACATGACCCAGGTGACATCACAAAACTTGACAAAAAAGGTTGGCACGCTGAACCTTTCCTTTAATTCTCTCCAGCTGCAGAAATGCTGAATCTTTCATGGACGCTTTCTCAAAACCAATTAATTCTAAAACACGGTCTGGATGACAATCCCTTACCCTATATAATTATAAATAGTGCACTTAAAAAAAAAAAAAACCTCCCAAAACCCAGCAGGAAACATCTTCTGTAGCTTTTAATAAAAGCTGCACTTTTGATCCGCGGGTGTGTATGAAGGGAAAATGAATAATTATTTCTTCAAGGAGTGTCTAAGTAGATGGAAGTCTACACAGCATCATCTGGGATGTGCCTGAGGTAATGGAGGGGCAGCGACGGCCGGCTGGGAATAACTGCTCGTCTTTGGAATCTCCTGCTCTGAACTTAATTGGAGCTACTGGGTCTTAACCCCTTTCCTGCCGAGGCATTTTTGACACGTGGGGGCCTAGCGAAAGCTCTGGAGAGCTGGTGTGTGTCACATGTGCTTGACACGGCATCGGCGGGGGTGTCTCCTTCCCACTGATTCCCTCAATTCATTTTCAATCTCATTCGCTCGGATAGAGCCGTGTGGCTGGCAGACAATGTTGCAGCCAAATTAGACCGGTTTCAATTTAAGGAATTATTTTAATCAAATTGAAAAAAGGGACTCAATGAAGATGCACAAGGAGAATGACTCCATTTAATTATAGAAAACAGTGTCTTGTCTAGACACAGTGAAGATGATAAAATAAACTTAATGCATTTGTGCTTGTGCAATTTTCCGTGCCCAAATGAAATTCTCCTTGCAGCTGCATACAGAAAAGCTCTGCAGCAAACATCCTGCAGCTGACACACAAACTGAGGAGAGAGGAGGGAGATGTCGACTTGAGCTGCTAACTACATTGTTTTGTAAAAATCCAGACCTAAATGTGAGACCAGGTTTAAACATTTTGTAAACAACCCCTGCAGGTCACTGTCCATCAGAACGCTTGCTTACGAAGAGAAAAAACTTCCCTGAAGCAGCTCTGAGTCGTTCAGCTAACCAGACAGCGGCGGTGAGTCATGCAGGATCCCCACATGACTGATGTGGAGACTTACCGTTGCTGTGCAGGGACCAGAGGAGAGGGGCGTTGGGGTCGTGTGTCCACCCACACAGGCCGTGGTCAAAGTCGCACACGCTGTCTGATGGAGGAGAGGTGGCTACTGTAGAGGTGGAGAGCGGCGAGGAAGGAAAAAGAGAGAGGAAGAGCGAGAGCAAAAGGGCACAGAGGAATGAGAAATCATTGGAGGTAAAGAAGCATTCACAGCTACAGCCTGTACAGCTTTCCTCTGTATTATTACATCTTCCTAATAACTCTATTAATCCAGCATTTCTGTGTTGCGAGGTCTCACCTGTAATCGTGACAGGGACTGTGGTGGTTTCGATGTCAGCGGGCAGAGTTGGCGTGGCGGTGTCGGCCGGCGTGGTGGTTTCTGCAGACACAAACACAGCTCAGGTCAAAGGTGGTTGTATGACACAATGCTCAGACGTTAGATTACTGCAAAGAGGACACATTAATCACCCGATTGTTTGTTTAAGAGATTATTCATGTGGAATTTTCTACTGTGGTAGCATACGTGAGGGAGGGCCAGGAAACACAGATGTGGGAGGAAGTGATAAGCAACAAAGGCAGAAATAACCGGAAAGTAATGAGGTATAGCATTTTTAGACACTCAATAACTCTCTGTCACTATTCCAGTGATTTAGATAGTAAAGTAAGCTTGTTGCAATTATTTTGAAAGCGGTTGGATCTATTCTTAAAGATCTCCTCGAGGCATGTATTAAGACATATAGTTCAATAAAGACGATTGATTCCACTGTTTCTAAATATGAAACTACAGTTAACAACGGCTTAGCTTAGCTTAGCATGAAGCCTGGAAACACAGGGAAACAGCTAGCCTTGCTCTGTCTTAAGGTAAAAAATAAATAAATACCATGTCTTATTAATCCATACAGAAACAAAAGTGTAAAACTGAATGTGCCGGACTATTTCTTGGCCGACCAATAACTTTCTTGAATGTCCAGTCTGGTTGCCTGGCAACTAGTCCCGGCCAAGAAATTGTCTGGCATGTAACCCCCCGTAAAATGGCAAATTGAAATTTTTTTCTCTCACTGCAACCTGTTGTGCAGAGCAATCCAACATTTCACATGCGAATAATGTCTTCTGCGAAAACAGTTGAGGTTCACTTTAACAGTAGTGAGAGGACGTTTTAAACAGGAAACTGGAAAGTAATGCTGCTGTTTCAAGTCATTTCTAACCACAATCCAGCACATAAACAACATTTTCTCAATATTAGGGTGCATTAAAGTGCGTGTCATAATTGAGAGGGTGAGGTCATTGTCCAAAACTAGCTCTATCTCTCGTCTACTGTCTCCGTTTGGCCATCCCACCCAGAGTGTCAGAGACAGGCGGAGGCAGGCACAGATAGCCCCAAAGCACCCAAGGGGGCCCCGATCATGTTGTGTCTGGGTGCTCTCGGCGTCAGTGTCTGTCTAACACACACACACACACACAGAAGCAAATATGCAGACACACAGATGCACAGGCACACATGTCCACATGCTAATACACACGCAGATGCATAGTCACACATAATTGCGCCTGGGCTAAGGCTGATGGATGGATGTGTCTAACAAACTCCCCTCGACCTTGGACAGGATGATCACACTCTGGGACCACTCTCTTGCTGTCAGGGAGCATACAGAGCACACACACACACACACTCCGTCTCACACAGTGTTTTCTTTTGCATCTGTTACCAAGTGTCTCCCTCACTTTATAAGTCATCTGCGCTCGAAAAAAGGGAGAACCCACACAAAGTGAAATGTATGATTTTCTCTTGGCCCTTAACATCGATCTAAGCACACATACATCACAAAGAAAGACAAACAACATGCTGAGGCATAAATAAGCCAACAGTTTGCTCATTAAAACACATCACATGTGCGCACAAACAGGCACATGTTGAGCAGGCGGCAGTTGGAATGTGTAGTGGGAGAAAGCGCTGTGTTATTAGGAGCAGATGGGTCAACCCTGGTGTTATGGGAGTTTACACAGAGGTTTGGGTCACGTCTCAACCAAATATCCAAATTTATCATATGAATAAACTGTGTACACTGTTCTTCCTTCAGTTTCTGTCTGCATAACCATTACCAAAAACCAAAAACATCATTAGCAACACATGTTTATTTAGTGACTTCATAATTAACTACGCAGGATTCAAACTTTTATATAACCCAGGCTTTTTTTTCTTATTTCACTGACATTAATAAACACTCAGTCAATTCTTAAGCATATTATATTTCATATTGCTTTGTTTGCATTCCCTGACATGTCTCATTTAAGCCTATCCAAACAGCTCTGAGGCTGCGGATGCCTGCTGATCTCATGTGAGACAGAGCTCATCAGTTGGAAAAGAAAAACAAGCGTGCAAACATCAAAAAAAGAAGAAAAGTCACATGGTTTCATCCACACTATACTCTGCCTGTTAGTGGCAATACCGGAGCCTCCTACTGGTCTTCCTGTGTGGCTACCGTTATCATTTAAAGACTATGAAAGGCACTAAGGGCAACAAACGCGGCATGATACACAATTGATCCGCAAAAAAGGAACTTCCTGTGGAAATGAGCGCGACGGCGCCACAGCTGGAGAAATGGCACACATGAAAGGGCCGACCACAGCTGGCGACGGCTTCTGACATTAACCCAGCGTTAATGTCATGTCCTTTATGCCTGTCATTAACTACCTAATGAGACTCTTATCGCTGCTGGCCCACCGGGAAGGTGAGGCAAGGAAAGCAACCCTCTTCTTCAAACCTCTCTTCCATCCTGAATTTCAAATACAAGACCATCTTTTGTTCCCCTTCTCCTCCTGGTGCCCCTAACTCTTGTTTGCCTTTTTTGTTCCAGTCAAACCTTCGAGTCCTCCAGTTAAGTCTTGGGACCAGGCGTTAAAATAAACCCACACATTACCTGGGCGCCACCACGCACACACTCCCATGTGGGGCTACAACTAAACACACATAAACACAAGTCCATTAAGATTCTACCCGGCTCCTGAGCACTCTGTGCTTTCAAAGGTCAGGCCTTGTCACAGTGTAAATGTGCTGACCTTTCCAGGGTGTGACAGGAGTGTCGGGGGCAATGGGAATGGGAGCGGGTTTGTGTGGGTGTGTATGTTTATGTGAGACAGTGAGGGAGAATGTGTGTGAACATATGTGACCTGCCTACCTTGCCTGAAGCCCTGTCCTTGATGTGTGTGAGGACTACGTCTACTAGGAGGCCCATGTGTGCACAGGCAGTCCTACTGTACATGCGCAGCAGAGGGCCTTGCAATGCAGGAAAAGTCCCTCTGCAGCGGAGTGTTGTCTTACATAATGTGTCTACTGCTGCAGGTGATGATGCAAGTCATCATCATGCACGGGATGAGACACCAACACTTAGAACCGGACCCAGGGGAACAGCTGGCACAGATAATGGCGATGCGCGCTCGCATAGCTGCGCATGCCTACACATGCGCTTATAAAAATACACACAAACACCCATTGATAAATGCTTTTGCATGCTTGTTTTTCAGCTAACACACAGACACCGAAAAACACACACACAGGGCAGGGTGGCGAAGGCCGACCCTCTCTGCATAAAAGACATCGCTCACTTCCAAAGAGTCTGACTCAGCGATATGTCAGAGAAGAGGGAAAAAAAATCTTCAATTATGTAGAAAGCCTTTCTGTAAATCTCTGCTTGGCAGTCCTAGGCACACACACACACACACACACACACACTGATGAATGGACACATATACACACACACACACTGATGAATGGACACATATACACACACACACAC